GACTGCAAAGCTGTTTGAACTGCAAGGTCAGTGGTTCAAGCTCACCAGCTGCTCCTTGGAAACCCTATACAGGGTTGCTATGGGTCAGAACTGACTCAGTGGCATTTAATAACTATATGTATATATGTAGTATAATTCTCATACATAAAGTACACCATTTAAAACCTGTATTTCACAGGTTTTATATTTTGACAGATTCACAAGGTTTAGGACCACTTTTCAGTATATCCTCACTTGAGGTCTAGTCCACACATGTTATGTAATGTTATGCTACAGACCCACTTGGTTACAAATTCCCATTCCCAGGTGAAATTGAGTTAGTTTTTCTTTCACCTAAAACCAAGATCGAAAAGCCACATTTTCTTGCTGTCCCTTTCTACAGGACAAGTATGTTTCAATTTGTAAAGGAGTTTCCTTTTTGACTCCTTCTTCCAGAGTTTTGTTTGTCATCTCCTGCCTTCCATGCCATCAGAACAGAAGTTCAAGGTCACACACATTAAACAGATGTCCCCAGGGAAGCTACCAGCTTTTGAGTTCGCTCACTTCTCCGAATTCCTGTGCTTGGTTCATTTTTGGCCTCAAAAGCTTCAGTTTCTTACTTGTCAGCTCAACGGTGCATTTAAAAATGTTGTATTCAGCGTTTTTAGTTTTTCTCAGTAGCACAGTTATTTGCATGGTGCAGTAGGATAAGCACCGGACCACAAGATCAGTTTGAACCACAAAGTCAGCAGTTCAAACTCACCAGCTACTCTGAAAAGCTATTCAGGATCTCAATGAGCCGAAACTGACTCAGTAGCACTTAACAACAGCTATAGAACTATTGTCTGTTTTTTAATCTGTTAATGATATGCATTTTTTTCTCTCTCACATCTTTAGTCAACCCTCCTGCGAGAGAATGGTTCAGAGCTATCCATGGCCTTTCTGTATGTGACCTTTCTGTATGTGGCATTCCCTGAGTTGACTGGGTTCTAGGACATCCTCTTCTTGTTTCCGGAAAAAGGGAGACATCATTCCTCACCAGTAGTTGACTCTCAAACTTGTTTCATGGCCACACTAGAGCTAAGTTCCTTTGCTTTCTCATTGCTCATGCCTTGCCAGTTTTAGGGCATGGGTTTTAAGTCTCTTAGGACTCTTTTTTTTTTTTTTTTTTTTAAGGTTTTTATTGTGGATTGAGAGAAAGTTTACAGGGCAAATCATGAGTTTTACATTCAACAAATCATACACCTTGTTTCATTATAATGATTATAATCCCCTCCATGTACCATCAGTTAACAGGATTTCTCTCTATCCACTTTAGCTTTAAGAAAACAAACAAACAAACACTTAGGCATAAATAATAATTTACATCTCCAAAGGGCACATTCTGCAAGTCTACCTCCTGGCCACCAGCTCTCAGTCCCTCTCTTCCCATGAATCTAGAGTCCTCAGCTGCTCCGTCTCTCCATGCCCCCATCTCTGCCTCTGTCTTTGGCATCCCTGCTTCTCTGGATAAGGTCCTGCATTCTGCTTGTGCGCTTCTGTCTGCCTCCATTTCTTGTGTCGCTGCTTCTCTGCATAAGGTCTCTCATTCCACTTGTGCTCTTCTCTCTTGATGGTTCTTGGGCTCTCTGTTTCTGTACTGTAAGATTAACCATTCCCCTGTTTTGGTACAAAACTTCTACCTTTACAATTGTGACACTCGCGATTAGTCAAGATAGCAATTATTCATTATTGAATCATACGAATCTTATCCCCATCTTTTTTTAACCAGACCCTTCTAGATAAAGATGAAATCTATTCAGTGGGGACTCTTTCTTTCCTCTCATACTCTTAAACTAAACTCCCTCTAGAAACCTCATAAGCCAGTCACTTCGTGCCTTTATTGCCTCCTCATTTTAGGTAGCCAGTGTCTAAGTTGCCTGTCCCTATCTACCCTGTGTACAGAGGGGATAGCATTGATACTTGATGTGAAGACTCTTTCCCTCTCCTTTGGTATTTAGAGTTATTACCTCCATGAATATAGGTCAAGTTCATCAAATTGTAGCAATTTGCCCTTGTTTCCTTTATTAAAAAAATTTTTTTTTCTTTGTAATCTTCCTCTAGTTGAGTTCTGATTATCGAGCCATCGAGGCTAGGTCAAATGGGTACTGTCTGCAAGCTTGGGTGTTCTTGTGCATCTCCTCTCATTTCTTATCAGCTGTATGTCACTCTCAGCTCTAGCTCTCTGTGGCTGTGTCCTTTTCCATGGGCTCAAGTGTCCTCAGGTCTCACCACACTTTGGCCCAACCAGCCCTTCCTCTTCTCTCTCTCATCTCCAGGTCGACGGGAGTCTATGGACTGCGGTTGAACTCAGCCCATTTCTTCAATGCTGCCTGTCTCCCTTTTCCAGTCATCAGTAGATCAATGTGGTCACCAGCAAGCTTACATTCTTGTTTGTGTGTTCCCTTTGAGTTTCAGTTTTAGAGAGGAGTTTGTCCTGAAGGAACTTGATGGCTTCCTGGTGAACAGCTTGCTTATTCTTTGTAGCAACAGTCATACTGACATCTTTGTTTTGTTTTTTTCCTGATGATCTTTCTTTGAAGATGTATCTTCTGTCACTGTAGCTGTTCCAGGCTGGTCTGCTTGTCCTTTCTGGTGGGAATGTCTCACCTCATAAGGTTCTGGATGGGACTCAGGATTCCACCTAGGGTCCTATTCTCTTTAAAGGCTTTTCACAAGGTCTATTTCACTGGGCAAGTTCTAGAACCCCTTTTAGGTATTCCAATCAGTTATAGGCTGAAGACGGGCTTACAAGTTTTCTGTAATCATGTTTCCCACCATTCCTTTCTATCCCACCCAAGAGTCTATGTTACAATGGTAGGCAAGGGAAATTCATATTCATGACACTTAAGCATTTTAGTATTATTTCCCCTCTTCAAGCTATACCTAGATCCCTGTATCCCAGAGCCCTGTTGTTCCAAGGTTGAGCATGCATCACTATTTACCTCTGTCCCACTTAGGACATGCAAACCTGTCTCAGTGTTCCCCTATCTATCTTGTTCTTCTACCTCCTCCCCCTTCTTGCATTGCCCTCCCCAACACCCGAACTAAACACCCTACCCCAACCCCATTGTTGTGGTTACCTTGTTGTTGTTGTTAAGTGCCGTTGAGTCAGTTCTGACCCATAGCGACCCTGTACAGGGTTTCCGAGGGTGTAAATCTTTACGGGAGTAGAAAGCCTCATCTTTCTCCTGCAGAGCAGCTGGTAGTTTCGAACCGCTGAACTTAAGGTTCACAGCCCGATTCGTAACCACTACGCTACCAGAGCTCCTTATAGTCCATTAATTCTTCCCTCCATTTAAGACAGTCTATTTTATCCTGTAATCTACCTGACCTTCTCACCACCTGGATCTCTGTTCCTCTGTGTTTACCTTCTTTCACATTGTAATTGTTTTGATAATAGACTGACCTCCCAGATGCTCTGTTCTTATCATTTTATTCTGTTCTTGGCTCTTCCACTTGTCGACTGAGTTCAGGGTGATGCTGCCACGTACGTCTTTCTGTAGTTGTTGTCTGTTCTTGTTGGTTCTCAGTGCACAGAACTTCCTTTAGGATGTTTTTCATAGCAGGGTTGGCTTTGGTAAAATTCTTATGACTCTTTACAATAATTTTTTTTCTGATTTTCTTTGAGAATAATTTCTTTTATTGTGCCCAATTAGCCAAGAATATAGGGAAATAGTTCCTCAAACCCTTCTACCTTTTCTGCATAAGGATCCTTCACAACTCAGATAGTAAGAATATAGAGAACTTGCCCTACAGGTCACTGCTGCCCATAGTCTTGGGGTCTCACGTTGAAATTATGGGCATTGAGGCTTCCCTAGTATTGCCTCCATCACATCCTGCAGCTCACCAAGTTTGGATCTTGCCTGTCTAGGAATGGGTTCCTGAACAGCCAAGTGTCTGGACAACTGCTCTACCATCCAGGAAGCTCTGTGCCTTCTCCTACAGGAAACAGGACAGGGGAAATCAACAGCAGGAATTCTGAAGGGCTTTTGGTGGTGGTGGTTGTGTGCATTGGAGTCAGATACAACTCTTAGTGATCCTGCATATTGTTTACGGGAGCATAAAGCCTCATCTTTCTCCTGTGAAGTGGCGGGTAGTTTCGAACTGCTGACTGTGAGATTAGCAGCCTGACTCATAACCACTACATTACCAGAGGTCCTTAATTACTCCCTTAGGAAACTTATCAGAATCATGGTAGCATATGGAAGTTTTTCTACTTACTAGCCTCTCCCTCCTATACAGGTGAGCCACTGCTTCTGTTAGCAGTGGACCAGAATGTGGAAAATGTTGAGAAACATTGCTGTAGAGTTTCACTTTCCATTATGTTTTTGTTGTTAAGTGCTATCGAGTTGGTTCTGCCTCATAGCAACCCTGTATAGAGTTTCCAAAGAGCAGCTGGTGAGTTTGAACCACCAACCTTATAATTAAAAATGACCTTGTGGCCTCTAACTAATCACATTCATTGTAAATACCTCCTTTCAACTATGTAAATAGCAACTATACATGTGGACCTTATCAAGTGGAATACCCAGGAATGGAAAAAGACAATGGAGAAGCTCAGTATCATCAGCCACAGTAAGGCCAGTGGCCAAATGTGGAACAGACCACCAATTGCTCACGTGCAAAGTCAGGCTAAACCTGAAGAAAATTTGGAAAAGTCCACAAGAGCCAAAACATGACCTTGAGTATGTTGTTGTTACATGCCTTCAAGTTTGTTCTGACTTACACAGGGTCACTATAAGTCAGAACAAACTTGAAGGCACATAACAACAACAACAACAACATACTCAAGGTCATGTTTTGGCTCTTGTGGACTTTTCCGAATTTTCTTCAGGTTTAGCCTGACTTTGCACATGAGCAATTGGTAGTTCATTCCACATTTGGCCACTGCCCTTACTTTGGCTGATGATACTGAGCTTTTAGGGTTTTCGAGGAATGGTTGGTGGGTTTGACCTGCTGATCTTGTGGTTCAAACCGACCTTGTGGTCTAGTGTTTATACTAGAGTGCCACACCAGACCTCTGACCTTGAGTACATCACACATGAATTTAGAGAGTATCTCAAAAATAGATTAGCTGTAGTAGACACTAATGAGTGAAGACCAAAGGAGTTATGGGATGACATCAAGGACATCACACAAAACAAAGAAAAGGTCATTAAAAAAGACAGTAAATAAAAAAGAGATCAAAATGTACATCAGAAGAGACTCTGAAACTTACTCTTAAATTTAGACACGTGAAAGTGACTGGAAGAAATGATGACATAAAAGAGAAAATCTGAAAGGACAGTTTGAGAAGAAAAAGTTAAGTGGTATAATGAAATGTGCAAAGAACCCGAGTTAGAAAACCAAAAGAGAAAAGCACACTCAGCATTTCTTAATCTGAAAGAATTGAATAAAAAAGTTCAAGCTTTGAGTAGCAATACAGAAGGATTATATGGGCAAAATATTGACTGCCCAAAGAAACATCAAAAGAAGATGGGAGGAATACACAGAGCCACTGTACCAAAAAGAATTTGGTGGATGTTCAACCCTTCCAAGAGGTACCATATGATCAATTACTGATGGTGTTTGAAGGAAGAAGTCCAAACTGCACTGAAGGCATAGACAAGAAATAAGGCTCCAGGAATAGATGGACTACAGATAGAATTGTAATGCAGTGCCATCACAATTGCCAAGAAATTTGGAAGACAACTAACTATCTGTCCAACTAATTGGAAGAGCTCCATATTACTTCCCATTCCAAAGAAAAGTGACCCAATGGAGAGCAGAAATCATCAAAAAATATCACTAATATCACTTGCAAGTAAAATTTTTGCTGAAGATAATTTAAAAACGGTTGCAACATTATATTAACAGAGAACTACCAGAAATTCAAGCTGGATTCAGAAGAGGATATCACTGCTGAGACCAGATAGATCTTAACTGAAAGCAGAGAATACCAGAAAATGTTTATTGTGCTCTCTTGACAATGCAAAGGCTTTCAACTGTGTGGATCATAACAAACTATGAATAATATTGCAAAGAATGGGTATTCCGGAACACACTTCATCGTGTTCATGAGGAATCTGTACATAGACAAAGAGACAGTTGTTGGAACAGAACAAGGGAATCTTGAATGGTTTAAAGTCAGGAAAGTTGTGCATTACGGTTGCATCCTTTTACCATATTTATTCATTGCATATGCTGAGTAAATAATCTGAGAAGCTGGATTGTGTGAAAAAGATTGTGGCATCAGGATTGGAGGAAGACTTCACTAATGACCTGCAATATGCAGATGACACATTCATGCTTGCTGGAAGCAAACAAGGCTTGAAGTACTTACTAATGAAGAACAAAGACTACAGCCTTCAGTATGGGTTGCACCTCAATTTAAAGAAAATGGAAATCCTTACAGCTGGACCAATCAATAACATGATAAATAAAGAAAAAATTGAAGTCAAACACTTCATTTTGTTTGAATCCACAATCAATGCTCATGGAAGCAGCAGTCAAGAAATAAATTGATGCATTGCATTAGGCAAATCTGCTGCAAAAGCCTTCTTTAAAATATTCAAGAACAAAAATATCACTTTGAGAACTAAGGTGCTCCTGATGAAGCCATGGTATTTTCAGCCGCCTCATATGCATGTGAAAGTTGAACAATGGGGAGACGGAAGAATAATCAATGCCTTTGAATTATGGTGTTGATGAAGAATGTTGAAGGTTTGAGTAGAACTGGTGTCAGCTCTTCTCTGAATATTTGCTAGAATTCATCAGGAAAGCCATCTGGCCCAGTCCTTTTTCTGTCGTTGGGAGATTTTTAATAACTTGATAAATTTTTCTGTTTGTTATTGGCCTGTTCACATTTTCTACTTCAGACTGTTAGTTTAGTAGGCCTTGTGTTTCTAAAAATTTGTCTTGTTTCTTCTAGATTTTCAAATTTGTTAGAGTACAATTCTTTATAATGTTCTGTTACTCTTTTTATTTCTGTTGGTTCTATTATGACATTGCCCATATAGTTATTTGCATCTTCTTCTCTTTTGTTGGATTTGCCAGTGGTTTGTTGATTTTATTAATCTTTTCAAAGAACCAAATTCTTGTCTCCTTGATTCTTTCTATTGAGTTTTGGGTTTCTGTTTCATTTATTTTCTGCTGTAATTTTTATTGTTTACTTTTTTTCTTGTGGTTTACTTCGCTGCCTTTTTCCTAATTGTTGGAGATGGTGGCTTAAGGTATTGATTTTGTTTTTTTCTTCCTTTTGGATATATGTGCTTATTGTTATAAATTGCTCTCTGAGCACTGCTTTTGCTGTGCCCCAAAGGTTTTGGTTGTGTTGTGTTTTCATTCCTACTTGATTCAAGGAATTTATTTATTTCATTTTTTGTATTTGTTCTATTACCCAGTAGTTTTTAAGCAGGATGTTATTAAATTTCCATGAATTTGCTTTTGTTTCCTTGATCGTCCTACTGTTGATTTATAATTTTATAGCACTGTGACCTGAGTGGATGTTTTGTATTATTTTGATTTTTTTTAATTAATAAAATTTTATTTAAATCTATTATTGTAGAGTTGTCTATTTCTTTCTTCAGTTCTATTAGATTTTGATTTATGTATTTTGAAGCTTTTTTCCTTGGGAGCACAGATACTTATTATGGTTATGTCCTCTTGTTCAGCTGACCCTGTAATCATGAAAAAATGCCTTTTGTCTTTTATGTTGGTTTTGGCCTTAAAGTTTATTTTATCAGAAATTAATATTGCCACTCTTGTTTATTTTTGATTGCTGTTAGGTTGTTATATTTCTTCCATCCTTTAGTTTTTAGTCTATTTTTGTCTTTGTGTGTATGGGGTGTCTTTTGTAGACAGCATATTAAAGGATCCTGGTTTTCGTATCCATTCTGCTCTTTTTCTTAGCTGGTGCATTTAATCCAATGACATTCATTTGAATTGATTGCCATCATTTTACTACGTGACTTTTATGTGGAGCTACTGGTTTTGTTCCACATAATTTTCTGTGTTGAATTCATTTTGCTTGTGCATTTTCTCATTTTCTTCCTTCTGCTATTTTAATGTTTATTAAATCTTTATGGATTTCTTCCTTTTTGTGTTTTGATGTGAATGTGTATTGATTTTCTTTGAAGTTACCTTGTAATTTGTTTTTTCTTAGTTTAAAACAGTCTGTTTTATCTTGAAATCTACTTGATTTCCTTGCCTTTTATGTAACGACCCTATGTAACTATGCTATTCTCTCTTTTTTGCTCTGAAGTTGTCTTCATTATAAATTGGTATCACTGAATCCCTATTTTCAGTCTTGTATGTTTGTTTCATTTCTATATTTGGATTCTGGGTGGTGTTTGTCATATATGTTAATCTCAAGTTGTTGTCTGCTGTTGTTGATTTTCAGTCCAAAGAACTCCCTATAGTATTTTTTTAAAGTTTATCTGATTATTGAAATTCCTTTAATTTCTTTTTATCAGAAATGTCCTATTTTCATTGTCATATTTGAGGGACAATTTTGCTGGGTAGATGATTCTTATCTTTGGCTTTTTTTTTCTTTCATTCAAAGTTTTGAATGTATTTTCCCATTGCTTTCTTGCCTTTGTGATTTCTGCTGAGAAATCAGAGTTTAGTCTTATTGGTTCTCCTTTGTAGGTACCTTTTGATTTTTTTCTGAGCTGCTCTTAGAATTCTTTCCTTGCCTTTGACTTTGGAAATTTTGATTATGTCTTAGTGATTTTCTTTTGGGGTCTGTCCTACTTGGGATTCATTAAGTTTCTTGAATGGTTATCTTCTCATCTTTCAGTATGTTGGGGCCTTTTATTCCTACAATTCTTTGACAGCTTTTGTATGTATGTGTTTTTCTTTGTCTTCTCCTGGTGTGCTATTCTGATCACCTGTAAGTTATTTGTCTTCATTTTGTCCCATATAAATCATAGGCTGTCTCCAGATTTTTTCTTTCTTTTTTTTTTTTTTTTTTTTCTCTCTCTTCCAGCATACTAGTATTGAAAGATTTATCTTTGATAATTTTGGCTTCCTCTGATTCAGTTCTACTCCTTTGCCCTTTCAATGTGTTATCTATTTCTGAAATCTTAGTATTAATTTTCTGGATTTCTATTTTTAGGTTTTAGGTTGTCTCCAGTCTTTCATCTGTTTTGTCCACCTGTTCCTGTAATATTTGTACTTATTTTTCTGTTAGTTCCAATGCACATTCTTTCTCAGGAATGTTTTCTGGCTCTGTATCTTGGTCACTTGTTTGAACCACTCTGTCTTGTTTCTTCATGTGAACTGAAATTGTCTGTTGTTTTCAAGACATTGTGGTGTTATTGCATTTGTATTTAATTGATGATTATATGTTGGTGAGTTCTTAGGTCTCACCAACCCTCTCCTGGCTGGTATGATTAGAGAATGAAAGCATGTGCACAGTTCTTCGTTAGCCGTTCTTGCTACTCAGTATAGAGTGGGTTTGCCTGGTGTTGGCTGATATCTAACATTGATCAGGTGGTATAGGAGCTGATATTTGCCCTCGCCTGGGGGATGGGGTTGTAGAGGGTATGGTTGTGGTTGGGCACCAGTAGAAAACACACACACCCAAGAGAGAGAGAAGGAAAAAAACAAACAAACAAGCAACAGCAAAAAAAAAAAAAAGAGAGAGAGAGAGAAAATAACAAAAGAGATAAAAGAAGAAAGCAGGCAGCAGCTAGAGAAGAGAATATAATAACCAACAAATGAAAAACAGGAAAGGAAAATAAAATTAAGGAAGAGAAAATAACAAGGGAGAAAAAGCACTAAGCAACATTAGGAAGAAGGAAAAAGAAAAGACAAAGAGATCAGAGAGCAAAGAAAAATCAAGAGAAGAGAAAATAAGGGGGAAAGAGAGAAGAAAAACCAAAATAGAGATAGAAAAAATAAAAAACGAGAAATAGAGATGGAGGAGGAGAAAGAATAAACAAAAACAACGAAAGGAGAAAAGATAAGGGCAGGTGCTGGACCCAGAAAGGAGAAAACTTTGGGGGCTCCTGCCAGTCAGGGAATTCATGTTGGGGGTGAGGGAGGGATGAAGACAGTGGGGTTCCTGGCCCTTGGTGGAGTTCCTGTAAGCCTGATTGCTGTCTTTGTTCAGAGTATCCAATCCAGAAGCAGTTTTGCACAAACGTTTAAAAATCCTCTCATGTTGTTTATTGTCAGGTGCCATCGAGTCGGAACCCACTCATAGCGACCCCATGCACAGCAGAACAAAACAATTTCCCATGCTGGGCCAACCTCACTACCGCTGCCACACTTGACGCCATCAGTGATGCCACTGGCTGATCCATTTCGTTGGGGGTCTTCCTCTCTTTCTCTGACCCTCCATCTTACCCAGCATGACATCCTTCTCCAGCGACTGTTCTCTCTGGACAATGTGTCCAAAGTATGAGAGACGAAGCTTAGCCATCTTGGCCTCCAAGGAGCATTCTGGCTGCACTTCTTCCAAAACAGATCTATTGGTCCTTTTGGCAGTCCATGGCACTTTTCGTATTCTCCTCCAACACCACATATATACATGATAAAAATCCTCTCATACATGATAAAAATCCAAAACACATTTGCTATTATTATTTGCAAAAATGGGATCACACTCTAAATTACAAATATTTTGAAGCCTGTTGCTTTAACTTAATACTTCTGTTGTTTTTGTTAAGTGCTATCTGACTCATATATGGTGTGGCGTTGCAAAATAATATACTGGACAGACCGCAAGGTTCCTTTGAGCCGCAAGGTCGGTGGTTCAAACTCACAACATCTGACTCATAGCAACCCTGTATAGGGGTTCTAAGCAATAGCTGGTGGGTTTGAACTGCCAACCTTGCTGTTAGCAGTCCAGTGCTTATCCTTTAGAGCCACATCAGGGCACCAAACAATACTTGTAGAACATCTTTATTATTATGTAGCATCATTTTTAATGACCATGTGCTATTCTTTTGTAGGGTTATAACTGATTTAATCGGTCTCCTGCTGTAAAATTGTATTGTTTCTTCTCTTATAAAAAATACTGTAATGAGCAACCATGCAGTGGAATCTTTGTCCACATTCTTGAGTGTTTTCTTAAGATAAATTCACAGAATATGAGATTACTTTGTTAAAAGTATTTATGCGAAGAAGGCTTCAGCATTATTGCCCAATCTTTCACGTGTCTTACCAAAAGTTGTTCATACCCCACCTCGTACCTATAAGAATAGGTTTCAGGATCAGGTGTTACTGTCTTTAACTGCCCTACCATTGCAGAGGGCACAGTTCTGCACAGCCTTTGCACTCATGAAGTGTTTTCCTTATCCCGCCAACCTGACCTGCCTCTCCCATACCCTCTCTGAGTCTACCCAGGTACTAGAGGTTCAGTTGTTCTTTGAGCTCTGTGTTCATCTCGTTCTATTACTTTTCATGATTTATTACACTCAATACAAAATTTAATTTTGTACCATGTTGTTGCTCCATAACATCTTCCACTTCGATTAATGGGGGGAATTAAAGAAAAAATTATTTTACTTGAATCCATTGTCTGTGCTGATCTCTCTGCTCATTCTGTCTTTGTTGAAAACTCTTGTTTTCAGAAGCCAGCAAGATCTCACTAAGGCATGTTCTTATTATTTCAGCTGCTGTAAGGAATCATTGGCCAGAAAGGAACACTGAATCCCACTTAGAAAGCATCACCTTTGATCAGGGTCAAGTAAACATTTCAGTAGTGGTCTCCAAAGACTCTATGATGGTTCAGACCCCCAGAAAGAGTGCTGCTTCTTTGGATGCTCCAGAAAACTTTACTCTACTGATTGAAACAGCAAATGCTGGAGGAAGATATGACTCTCCAAGCAGAACAAATGTTACCGTTCCCCATGTTGGGGGCTCACCTGAGATAGCCACAGCTCTGAATTCCTGGAACAACTCCTCAGGTGAGTTTGTGTTGATGATGCTCATTTCAATCATGCATGTCCAGTCTTGGAAAAGAAAATTTCCACCGCTGTTATCCTGCCCTCCCCTCCCTGCATCATCATGATCCACTCTGCCCACCCAATGGCTCTGGGTGAGGTTGGGCCAAACTTGTGACCTTCCATCCTTTTGTGACATGCCACAGTAAGTTGAGCTGTAAATACAGATCAGATGAAGGTGTAGATTTGCTAAGAGATTTAACACCTAACAGGTTTCAGAGCTGGGATTTTGAGTTGAAGTCTTCATAGCTGAACTAGGTGGAGAGTGAGAGGCCCCAACAGTGTGGGTGAAGATGCAGGGAAGAGAAAGAGAAGTGTGATCTCGTTGTGGTGGTGCAGCAATGCCAGCAACCTCCCCTGTTGTGCATTGAGGAGAGGAGCAGTTTGTGAATACAGTTGTGTGGATGGGGTTGGGAACAGTCATGGAGAATTTTGGAAACCAGGTAGTTTAGATTTAGATAGAGTAGAAAGGATTGTGGGAGGTTTTTGCACAAGGGAGTGACATGGTTAAAGCAATTTGGGGGATTATTTGCCTGACTGTCATGTACAGAGTATTTGAATTTGGGGGTAGAGAGGGAACCTACAGGAAGACATGGAAATCCACATACAGACCTCAGGTGCTGAGATAAGGCCTAGTGGCAGCTGGATGGAAAGGAAGTGATTGGTAAAGAGAGATTTCACGAAGGAAAATCGATGGACTTGGTAGCGATCTGAAAGTAGATGATGAAGGCATCAAAGAGAACTCTAGGATTCCCACTCTAGTGGCAGGAGGTCGGATTAGGGTCTCAGTTCTATGAAAAAGCCATATGGAAGTATTCTGTGTTCTAGCCTCGAATGATGGGTACAGAACTTATGATCTCTGCACATGATGCTGTGTATTTCAGTAGTCATGCTTTGTTTATGTTAATTTCAAGCAAATTCTAGGGCCACCTTTGTAGCATATGGATGATGAGCCATGATGACCAGAATCTGGTCTCTGATTTCATATCATCTGATGTTGTTGCTAGTTGCCATCAAGTCAGTTCCAACCCTTGGTGGAACGTGTGTGCAGAGAACTGTGCTCCAGAGGGTTCTGAAGGCTGTGACATCTTGGAAGCAGATTGTCAGGCTTGTCTTCCAAGGCACCTCTCAGTGGGTTTGAACTGCCCACTTTTTTTTTTAATGTTTTATTGTGAATTATGTGATAGTTTACATGGGAGAACATTAGTTCTACATCCATCCTATCATATATCGTTTCATTGCCATGGTAACAACCCCCTCCATGCATCATGGTTTGGTATAACCAACCAAAGGGTATACCCTGCAAGCCTGCCCGCACCCCCCGATCATCACCACACAGCCCCTTTCCCTCTCTGGGTCTAAAGTCCCCAACTGCTCTATCTCTCCACGTCCTTGTCTCTGCCTCCATCTCAGGCATCACTGCTTCTCTGGGTAGGGTCCCGCTCTCTGCTCTTCTCCCTTGATGGTCCCAGGGACCTCCTCTCCTAGACTGAAAAGTTAATCACTCCCCTCCTTGCTACAAAATGTCTGCCTTTACATTTCCAACTCTCACAATCAGTCCTGATAACAATTATTCACTATTGTATCACAAAAGACCCATCCGCATTTCATTTCATCAGCCCCTCCTAGACAGATTGGATGTTACTCAATGGAGATTCTACCTTCCTCCATATCCTCTGGATCTAGGTTCCCTCTTGAAAGCTTGTAATCCAGTCATGTCTTACCTTTGTAGCCCCCCCATTTTGGGTAGCCAGTGTCCAAGTTGCCCATCCCTGTCTACTCTGTGTATGGAGGGGGTGGGAATGATCCTTGCTATAAGGATTTGTTCCCTCTTTTGAGCTACTGCATCCATAGGTGTAGGTCAAGTTCATCAAATTGTATCAGATTACTCTTTTTTTCCTCTTCTTTCTTCTTCTAGTTGAGCTCTGATCTTCCAGTCATTGAGGCTAGGTCAAGTGGGTGTTATCTGCAAGTATGGGTGTTCTTGTGCATGAACTGCCCACTTTTTGGCTAGTAGTCAAGTGCTTAACTATTTGCACCACCCAGGGACTACCTGTATCATTTGATACTTCACTTCAGTGTGCCCCTTTTCTGATAATTTTACTACAGAATGTAAAGTCTTTGCATATGAGATCCCAAAACAGTCTTGGTTTGTGATCTTTTTTTCAGGAGTTCATGTTTCATAGAATGAATAATTGTTCCTAGTTTCTCTCCATGGCTATACATTTTGTAGAGGTCAGAGTTGAGTCCATTAAAAGATGATTAAATTCGCTGGTAGAACTTTTAATTGTTGCCATCTGGTTTCAGCCCTGGAAGAACTTCATGTGCCGACCAGCAGTCACAGTTCTGAGTCAGAAGAAAGGATAGCCTCTTCTCAAATGGAGAATGGAAAAGCGGGGGGCTCACAGGTTTGGGGAGAGAAGCTTCCAGAAGAAACAACTTTGCACTCCCAAGTAACTGCCACTTCTATTTTGAGCCAGTCTTCCCTTCCTGCTTTGGACATGGGAGCACAGACCACGTCCTCCAAGAAGAGAACCTCCTGGGAACCAGAGCTCTCCTCACTGAATTTCTCCAGGACCCCAGCTTACACACCTGCCTCAGACAGTTCTCCATGTGAGTTCTCCCATCCCCAATTTAATGCTCTCGCCATTCAAAACAGAACTACACAGATGGATACACCTAGATAGCCATATACTCATAACAGGGGCTTAGAGGGAAAGAGGTCATGTAGAACTGGCATTATGGTGGGAGTCTTGGTGGTACTGTGATTAAAGCACTCGGCTGTTAACCAGAAGGTCGGTAGTTTGAATCTGTTAGCTGCTCCTACATATAGGTGACCCCAGATGAACCCTCCTTTGTTTATCTTTTGGGGACCTGGTGGGGTGCTGTAGAGAAAGATGTTGTAGTCTGCTTTTGTCCGGATTTACAGTCTTAGAAACCTTATGGGGCAAGTTCTACTCTGTTCTGTAGGGTCATTATGAGGCAGAATCGACTTGAAGGCAGTTGGGGTTTTTTGGTCATCTGTTGTTGTTGTTAAGTATTGTTGAGTTGGTTCCGACCCATAGACCCTGTATAGAGTTTCCGAGGAGTGGCTGGTGAACTTGAACCATTGACCTTGCAGATCAAACCGACTTTGTGATCCAGTGCATTAACCCACAGCGCCACACCAGGACTCCATTTCGGTATTGCAAATGCAAAACATTAGGGGTGACAGTACTACCTGTGCAGTTTATCCCAGTGTTGAAGTTCACCTCAAAAATCTTTTCTTTAACTGCACAGGGAGGAAAATAGTAGTTGGTCTGGTGACTACTAAAGGTCTTTCTTCTCACCAACCTCCTGCTTTCTGTATCTCCCCTAATCCCAACATAAACCCACACTTAATGCAGATGTTTACAGCTGTGGCCAGAGAGCTTCTCCCTCTCTCCCAGTCCAATTTCTGCGTATCATTTAAGCCTCAGCTCAGGTATTCTATTTCCTTGAAACTTTTCTCAACTCTGCCGATCTCAATGATTGGTCAACTGCCGTGTACCTGGCAGCACTTGAGTATCTAAAGCACTGTCTGCCCAGGTAGACTGTAATCCTCTGGAGGACACGGGCTAGGTTTGATACTTCTCTTACATTTCCCACTGCCTGAGAACAATGTAAAGTTAATAAGGGATGGGGATTAGCATGTGCCCAATACCTTCACAGGACAGAGGCAGCCAGGGGCCAAAAAGAATGCTGAAAATGGCCTGGTTTTTCTCTGTTTCCTGAGTGTTTGTTCAGCATCTGTGTGCGTGACTCCTGACTCCTGTTTTCCTCTACGTGCCATAGGGAGAAGAGAGAGAGGCCTGGAGATTTTATTGGGAAATAGAGGTTAGGTTGTTTCTGAAATTGCCACTTCCAAATTTTTATAGGTCAGAGATTTTTAGAAGTACTTTGCAAGGCTAGGCATTTGGCTTTATGTCATCAAAGCAAAAATTGAACCCAGAGGTCCTTTCTTTAAAGCCTATTTTTAAATCAGCCAATTTCTCATCTCTATACCCTGTCTACAGTTTCCTGCTGACTGGATATGGGTATAATTTATGATTTGTGTTTTTAAGAGATTGCTTTTTAAGATTTTTGCATAAACATTGGTTGGATTGGATAAAAGCTAGGTTCCTTTCTAGCTCCATAGTTGTATGGGTCAGTGATTTACAATCAACTTGACTAAAGAGTGGGAAGGAAGCATCTTCTGGACAGTTGCACATTGATTCTGGTCAGGCTTATTGAATATTTATCATTTGACTTCAACCCACTAATGGGGTATATTTGAAAATTAGCGTGCTTCCAACTTTATTGGATTTTGCTATATTGTTGGTGTTAAGTGCTTCAAGTCCGTTCTGACTCATAGCTATCCTGTATAGGTTTTTTAAGGAGCAGTTGGTAGGGTTGAACCACCAACTTTGTGGTTAGCAGTCCAGTGCTGATCCTACAGCACCCCACCAGGTCCCCAAAGGATAAACAAAGGAGGGTTCATCTGGGGTCACCTATATGTAGTCATTCATCCTTTTAGAACTATTTACTTTTCATTTTTGGAGCGTTCCACCATATCTTTCATATTCCTTGATTCTTTTTATAAGCATTTTCTCTTTGTGAATTGGGGTTTCTATCCTGGATTGGGTCCTGCCTCCTTTTTAGATTTTAGAAAGGGTTTTTTTTGGTGGTGATGATGATATGTCATTGAGTCAATTCTGACTCACAGTGACCTTTGATAGGGTTTTTGAAACTAAATTTTTATAGGAACAGAACACCTCATCTTTCTCTCGAAGAGCGTTTGGTGGACTCGAACTGCTGACCTTGTAGTTGGCAACCCAATGCATAATCTTCTAGTCACTAGGGCTCCTTAGAGACAGCTTTGGGCTCTGTTAAGTAGGAGTATAAATGGGAGGAGCCAGGACCCTCCCTCTGCTTTATTTTTAGGCTAAATACCAGGTATGGCACTGTGGGCTAATGCGTCACACTGCAAAGCTGTTTGAACTGCAAGGTCGGTGGTTCAAGCTCACCAGCTGCTCCTTGGAAACCCTACACAGGGTCGCTATGGGTCGCAATTGACTCGACGGCATTTAACAACAACAACCTGTTAAAGGAGTCCTAGTGTATATGCTGTAGGATAAACACTGGACTGCTGTCCACAAGGTCAGCAGTTCAAACATACCAGTTACTCTGTGGGAGAAAGATGAAGCTTTCTGCTCCTGTAAAGATTTACAGGCTCAGAAACCCTATATAGGATTGCTATGAGTTGTAACTAACTCAGCAGCATTGAGTTTGAGGGTTTTTTTTTTTTTTTTTGGTGTCTGCTATCTCCCTAAACAGCGCCCTGGTGTGGCGCTGTGAGTTAATGCATCAGACTGCAAAGTTGGTTTGAACCACAGGTTGGTGGTTCAATCTCACCAGCTGCTCCTCGGACACCCTATACAGGGTCGCTGTGGGTCAGAACTGACTTGACGGCACTTGACAAAAACAATAAATCTCCCTAAACAGAGCTTCTAAAAACCAAAGTAGTTGCTGTTGAGTCACTTTGGATGCATGACAACCCCATGTTTGTCGGAGTAGAACTTTGCTCCAATGGGTTTTCAATAGCTATGACCTCTGAAAAATAGATTATCAGGGCTTTCTTCTGTGGTGTTTCTGGGTGACGTTGAACCACCAATCTTTCAGTCGTGCTTAATCAGTTACTCTATCCAGGGACTCCTAACATAGCTCCTGTTTCCCGTTATATGTGCATCTTGAGTTGTTGCTCCTTGAGATAGGAACTCGAGGCATGAGGCCACCCTTTTTGAGAGAGCTGTCAGGACTTGCCAAAGGCAGGCCCAGAGTCAACTAGCTCTATTGAAGTTTGGAAGAGAGGAGGAAGTGAAGTGTCACTTGTGCCATTTGATACTTGGCCATTCCATCTACTAGTAGATGTGACCCAGTGAAAGTCCTTAGACCAGTTAGATAAGTGATGTTTCCTTACTCACTGAAAGCTAGGATGATGGTAAGCCAGGACTGGCATAAAGTTGTTGCTAAGTGTCATCGAGTCAGTTCCCACTCATGGTGACCCTGTATAGGGTTTCTGAGGAATGACTGGTGGGTTTGAACCACTGACCTTGCAGTTCAAACAAACCTTGTGTTACAGTGCTTATCCTACAGCACCAGAACTCCTGGCATGAGGTAGATGGGGTTAACCAGCAAAGTCCCTAACTGTAATATGAAGAGATTAGACCAGATGATCTTAAACACCCTTTCTAGTATCAGCATCTGCACCTCCACTGTGTTCTGTGTCTCTTTTCACCTTTCACTCTGCTATGTAGAAGCCTTCAGCACAACCTCTTTTGAAGCTGGGGAAACCAGAAATTCTGCTTCTAGAAATAAATGGCATTCCTTACGTTTTAAAACAGGTGTAGGTTCAGGCATATTAAACAGATTCATAAAAGGGATTGGAAACCATTTGAATTTTTTTTTTTTTCTGCTCTACCTCTTTCTATACTTTCCACATTTTTTACCATAAACATGTGCTATTCAATTCTTGAGGCTTGGGGTGGAGTGAGGGAGTTGTCAGTAAATGAAGCAACAACAGACTGGAAATAAAAAAAGCTTTCTTTTGAAGATGAAAAAGAGATGTGTGTATGTTGAATTGTGCTAGGGTAGTTACAGTTGAGCATCAAATTTGGTACTGACCTTCCTGGAAACCAGGGCACCAAGGGAGGCATGCTATTGTAGTCAAAGTGCACATAGGGTTTTAATACAGGTATAAGTGCTTGGTGAGCAGTGAATTCTAGGAGGAATGTTTATGTAAGGAGCATTGAAGATTACTTGCCATTTTGGGGGAGAAATGGTGTTAATGTTCTATGTTGTTGTTAAGTACCATGGTTCCTACTCATAGTGACCCTGCACAGGGTTTCCAAGGCTATAAATCTTTATAGGAGCAGAACACCTTATCTTTCTCCTGTGGAACCGGTGGTAGTTTCGAACTGCTGACCTTGAGGTTGGCAGCCCGACTCGTAACCACTGTGCTACCAGAGCTCCTTAATGTTCTATAGAAGGTGATGTATTCTATAGATCTTCTAAAGGAGCTGAAGGTGGAGTAGCGGATCTCAACTTATGAAAATATTTCTGTGGGTAGCTGAGCTAATGTAACCCAGGGAAATTGCTTTGTGGCAATTTCACTTTGTAAAGGAAGAGAACATTAAAAACAAACAAGAACAACTCAGAAGGTTGTGGATTTAATGTATTTTTCTCAAATATCAGTTGCATTAGCTGTAATTGTGGCAGGTTCTAGAGAGCAGTTAAGTGAAGGTTGAGCATAAGGGTCTAATGTTGGGTGTTGGGTGTTGGGCTTGGAAAGTGACCCATATACTTTTACCAGATGAGTAGACATTCTTTCTAATTCGTGTTATAAAGATCAGAGAACATAGCTGACTTCTGCGCCCAAATACATTATTCCCCACCCTCTCTGTTTGAATGGCTGATTCAAGGGTAGAAATGAGCGAGGAAGGACACATTAAATAATCAACAAAGCTGGACTCTTGATTAGAAACGTAGTAGATTTCCCCTTAGATGCATTTAGCCAGCACTCATTTGCTAGTATAAGCAGTGATGGTAAATGAGGT